CTCTAAATAAAATACAAAATAGGGTCGGTGATGTGGCTCAGTGGTCGAGTGCCTTAGTTCAATTCCCAGTAACCTCCCAAAATAATAATAAAATGTAAATATAAATCAAAAATAAATAAAATTCTCCCCTACTGACAGGTAAATAGCCATTTCCGTGAGGCCAGCCTTCCCTATAAAGTCCACCAGGGCCTTACTCCTTCCATTATTTATTCAGTTGACTGACATTTTGAACACTTTTGGATGAACAGTCATTACTATGACCATTTTCACGATGAGAAAAACTGAGCTTCTAAGAGATTATGGAATGATGTAGCCCATGTCATCTGTTGGGATAATCATAGTATTGGGACTGAAAGGAAAACAAATTGTTCTCTAGAGTCATACTTCTTACCTCAAATGTTCTGCATTTTTCCCATGCCAAGCAATTCTCCCATCCTCTGCAGAAACCAACTAGGTAGCCCACAATTTGGTTCAGTTCTGACATTACCTACCTAGAGTTAGTGTCAGATGCCACAAGAGAAAGGGCTCAGTCCCACCAGACTGTCCCCACTTCAGATGCCAATCATGATTCTGATTGTCACCTGCACTTCAGACCAGCCAGCTATAAATCAGGCTCCCCTTCAGTTTTAATAATTTGTTATAGTGGGTCAGAAAACTAGGAAAACATTTGCATAGTTCCATGACTTATTATAAAAGATATTACAGACGCTATGGATCAACAACCAGGCGAAGCAGTATATAGAGCAAGGTGTGGAGGAAGGAGCACACAGCTCCAGGTGCACCCCTTCCAGCACCTCCACTTGTTCCCCAACTAGAAAGCTCTCTGAACGCCTTCTTCCGGGTTCCTTGATTGGCAATTGAACTCAACCTCCAGCCCCTTTCCCCCAGAAGCTAGTAAGAGGCATGGAAAATTCCAACTGTGTAATCACCTGGTTGGTTCCTCTTCTTCCGGGAGCCACCTCATTAGCATAAATTCAGGTGTGGCTGAAATGGACTCATGGTGAACCCAACAACAAGACTCAGGAAATTCCAATATTTATCTCTTATTATGCCACAATATCCCAGGGAACATAAAGTCATCTAATCCAAATCAACCTGTTCATTTTCTGGGTGAAGGGACCCAGAGGGTTTGAGGAACATGCCGTAGACCACATGGCTGGCTGGTGTGGCTCTATCAGGGCATGTGGAACATACATCTCAGGGATGTCACCTTCCAGAATGGAGGGGGCCATGAGGGGAGCAGTGGACAGAACTGCCACCTTCCTACCTGGCCCCTCTTGTGTTTGGGGCACAGAGAGGTGTTGAAATTCGTCAGGTTCCGCATAAAATGTGAAGCCTAGAAGACTGCGATCATTGACAACAGGACTGGTGGGTTAGTGGTTATGGAAAAGGTGTACATAGGTAGAGGCAGGAGCAGAGGAGATGGGACCTTTGGACCTGAGGTGGGAAATGGGGAGCAGATGGGGGCCAAGCTGCAGCCTGAGCTGGGGAAAGACAAGGAGAGAACCAGCATTTCCTGAATGCTTGCTCTATGCCTGATGCTTTGTCAGTGTTGGCTCATGGAATCCCCCAGAATAGGCCTTTGGAGGAATAATTTAATTCTCACAGGCCAAGCAATGACGAGAACGCTTTTCCTAGTCCTTAAACTAGCAGAAGCGAGACAGACTCCTCACGGATCTTCTCTTGCTCTCACATGTGATTCCCCAGCCAGGCTTTCTACAGTTGAGGAACCTCAAAGGCTGAAGACCTAGGTCTGGGGGAGGAGGTGGGTGCTGAGCCTGGGGACCATCCATAAGGCCATTAATAAGGTGTGACTCACGGAGGAGCAAGAGGTGTCTCTGAAATTCCCCATGAGTTTCAGATCTGTAGGTGGTTTTGCAAGAGGCAGGTCAGAACCTGGGGGGAGGGGTGAGAGGAGGAGCATGGGGGTGGCCCTTCATGCCTTGTTGCCCAGGGGAAAATGGCCATTTTACATTTCAATTAGACAGGGCACTGGGTCAATCAGCAGCTCCACTAGAGGAAAACAGTCCAGCCTAGCCCTAGGCCTCTCCAATTACTATTAATGAACTCTCAGAGCGACAACCTTTTTATATGCAAACTAGGTTTTAAGGAGCCACTGCCAATCGGGACTCATTAGAGGACACCTAAGAAGCCCCAGTGAGAAATGGCACAGGGCACAGCTGAGAGATGCTTTGGCTCCTGCCCATGTTCTGGATGGGAACAGTTGAGCCCAAGCAGAGTTCCAACCTGGCAGGAGGCCTCAGGGCTCCCCACACAGGGACATCCTTGCTGACCAACCTCCCCACCCTGTGGCGGTCCTGCCCTCTATGGAAACTTGCTCTTCCATGACGGAGAAAGAAGGTGACTTGAGCGGTTCATCTGCTGATGCTGAACCACTGCTGTTCCTCTCCCTGCCTCAGTTTCTCCTCTGCAGAGCAGGAGGGGTCCACTAGGTCGGTCAGAGGACTCTCGGACTCCAGGGTCCCTGAATGCAGGAGCCTGAGCGGCAGCAGGTTGATGCAGGAGGTGAAGACACTTCCCGCCTCCCGCTCCAAGTGCTTCCAGCTCCCTGCAAGGAAGGCTGCTCGGGCCTCAGTTGACCTGGGCTCCCACCCCTCTTCAGATCTGCTTCAGATTTGCTGTCGCTGATGCTCCAGCGTCACACATCTCCCGCTTCAGGCTGAATTTCAACGTTTTTTACAGAAAGCTTCCTCTTACGTCGGTTCCCATTCCCATCTTGCCAGAGCATGGGGTTCAGGCAGCAGCCAAGGGAGCCCAAGATGGAGACCTCGAGGTTCCCAGAGATCCTTGTGCTTTGGAGACTTGGGGATAGGCAGTAGGTCAAGGCCCAGGCCCCTACTCTCCCTGATGCCTGCTTTCCCGCTGTTTCTCTTTGTTTTTATTGTTTTAAATGTGTGATAAAATACACAGGATACAAACCTACCCTTCTAACAGCTTTAATGGTACATACAGCTGGGGGGCCTTAAGGGCATTCACATCCCCGCTGTCCCCAACTAAAACTGCCTATTAAACAACTCTTCACTCCCCTCCTTTCAGATACAGCCACTCTCCTGTCTGTCCCTGACCCCGACTCCTAGGTGGCTCGTGTAAGAGGAACCACGTTCTAGTTGCCTCTCTGTGACTGGCTTATTCACTTAGCATGATGTGCTCAGCACTCTTCCAGGTTACCATTTTCCTTCCTTGGCTCAGGGTCTCCTTCCTCTTTCAGGCTGGGTACTAGTCTGTGTGTGGCTATGCTGTTTTGTTTGGTTTATCTACTCGTCCACCCGTGGACACTTGGGTCGCTTCTGCCTCTTGGCTACTGTGAGCAAAGCTGCTCTGAACATGAGTGGACAAGTATCTGTTCCAGTCCCTTCTTTCTGGTCTTTTGGAGACATGCCCAAGAGAGAAATTGCTGCTCACCCTTTAGCTGTTCACCGGGGTTAAGGTGCGGACAACCTGGAGGAAGGGAAGGGGAGGGTTGGTGTGAGGGGCCTGGGGTCTCCCTCAAGCAAGCCTCCACTGCTGGTCAGTCTGTGGCCTCCGTCTGGCCCCTCCTTTCTCCTGGCTTCCCTGGGGCTTCTCTGTCCCCTCTTCCTTTCCTGCTTCCATGACCCGTGCTTCTTTTTTCCTCCTCTGTTCTTACCGGGTGACCAGGAAGGACAAAGGGTGACCACCCCGAGTCATGGAATCGTGACTGGTTGAGATGGGTGGGGCCTGGGAATCCCACCTGACTCTCAAGGTGGGGATGTGCCCCGGCTCGTCAGCAGCTCGGCTGGAGCTGGAGCTAGCTCAAGTCTCCCCCGCCCAGCCGCGTCCTGCTCAGCTCTGAGCTACACGGGAACGACTGGCTCACCTTTGCTTTGGGTCCCAGCAGGGACAGTTGCCAGTTTCTTGACCCCTCTGGTGGGCATCCTCCCCGCGCCCCCAGGGCTTGCTTTCCGCCTCACTCTGCTGGGAGCCGGAATTGGGGAGAGGGGAGCAGCCTCTGCCAAGAGTCAGCGATGAGCCCGTGATAAAGCCCCCTCAGGAAGGATGTGGTGCTGTGGTTTTGATGTCAACCTGTCCACGGGCCTCGGTCTTGGCCTGCACCAGACAGCGCCACAGAGGAAGGAACCCGGCTGAAAGCCGCACTCCCTGCTTGTGTCACATAGACCTCCCGCGCCATCAGACCTGGATACCCACCCTCCCACCCAGCTCCAGAGAAGGCAGGGACCCGCCAGCTGCCATGTGTCATCTGGGCAGACACACACCCTCCTTCCTCAGACCCCACTCTCCCCTGGTCCTCCCTGGACAGAGCTGATTGTCCCAGGAAAAGGGGGCCTCGAGATTCATTTTCTCCATGGGCAAAGGCCCCGGGGCCCCATGCGACTCCAGGGTTGAGCACACCCACTGTGGGCATCCAAGAGCAGCTCCGGGGGATCTTCTCAGAGGGGTGTTTCTTTGGGTTAATCAGAAGCTTCTGGATTGAAAAGGTCACTGGAACCTGTTCCAGAACATTCCCAAATGCCAGACAGCCTCCATATGGGATGCCTGCCGCCCTCTTTCGTTGTGGTTCAGACTCGAGTTCCAGAGGCAGAGCCAAGGTCCAGCCTTGGCCTCCCTGGGGACTCCTCCTGCCTCCCCTCTGGTCCAGCTCTTGGCTGCCGGGAACTTGTCAGACAAAGAGGCCATCAGTCTCCAGTGGACAGGGTGCCCAGGCAGCAGGCCAGTCTTTCCTGGGGTGGAGGGGTCTCAGGAGGGGACCAGAGGCATGTCAAAGAATCAGGGTCACAGGGGAGGAATTCTGATGAACCTGAAGAGGCTGGAGTGGCCTCAAGATGGTGACCCCAGGACCTGACATTTCTCAGCCCCATCCCTTCCCCACAGTGCCCGGCTAGGAATGAGATGGCCCTCTGGGGAGGTGTCCGGAGCAGGTGGCCATCTGAGTGCTGTCTGCAGAGGTCCCCGTTCCTTTGACTTGTTGGCGGCCCTACCTGAGCTATGCCCTCTGTCTCCAGGACTGTCCCCAGCTGCTTCGAGTGGACAAGATCCTGGTGCCCGTGGAGGTGATCAAGCCCATCACTCTGAAGGCCAAGAACCTTCCGCAGCCCCAGTCTGGGCAGCGTGGCTACGAGTGCATCCTGAACATCCAGGGCAGCGAGCAGAGGGTGCCTGCACTGCGCTTCAACAGCTCCAGCGTGCAGTGCCAGAACACCTCCGTGAGTGCCCCCGCCTGGGTTCAGGTCCCCCGTGTCACCCCTCCGGTTGCTACTATAATAACTGTACTTGGGGGTGTGATATGGGACCAAGAGAATCCCCCCAAAACACCCCACACTTTCAGTGCTCTAGGCTGGAAATAGGGTTCAGAAAGGTCAATATACTTGCCCAAGTTTGCTCAGCATTACAGGGGCCTGATTTCCCAACCTCCAGAGCCCCAGATGTGTCCCCACAGCTTCTCAGGTGTACCTCCTGCACCTCCTCTGGCAGCCAGGCTACTTTTCAGGCTTGTGCAGCATTCTAGATTAAAGCTCTATGCAAAGGGGAGATTAAACATCTCCTGCTTCCTCATGAATCCTGAGGCTCAGCAGACCAGCCCCACGGGTTTGGCCAAGTAATTCCCCCCCAAACAAGAAGGGCCCAGTGGAGAGAGCAAGCCTGGGCCCACGTTCCACTCAGCAGGTACAGGAGGTGGTTTCTGACTGCGGAGAAAACAGCCTCATTTCCTGGGAGATGCTGCCCCAGGGATCTGGGAGGTGTCAGGACGAAGGAGAGAGTCTGAGGCCACAGTTCCCAGAGAGAGGGGCACAAGGGTCCCAAGATGCCTCATGATCCCCTGCTGAGGCTGAGTTGGTTAAATAGATGGAGGAAACCCAGATAAAGGTGTGAGTGGGTCCTGCACACCATGTGGCCAGGACTCCCTTGGTGCCCCGGAGACTAACCTAGCGTCCAGGAAGCTGGGTGGGACCCACTGCGTCCTAGATACTGTGGAATTAGAAGGAATTTTGGAATATGCTCAGCATTCCCTCGCAGACAGCTGCCTGACCCAAGGAACCCACAGGGGTCACAGGGGACTCCTAAAATATAGGGGGTGAAACCAGAACCTGCTAAGGACAAGGGCACAAAGTGTGTGTCCATGTCCCCAGACAGGAGAGCCCCATTTCCTCCTCCCTCGTGAGATCCCATGGGGTTCGTAGTACAGGTGCCCCAGTCAGCACCTGTGGGAACAGGACAGGGATAATTTGGCATCAGGTATTTATAGAATGCATTATATCATCAGGCAGAAATAGACCTGGCAGAGTATCTTCGGATCCTGTTAACAGAGAGGATTCTAAGATACAGAGAGGGCAAAGGGCCAACCCCAGATCACACAGCAAGTAAAGTGCAAATTCAGAATTTGAACCCAGTTTTCTAAGATACCTCCTCATCAAAGCTTGGGAAAAAATACAAACAACAACCGTACAGAACGTCATACCCAGCCTTGGTGTTAACCTGGGCGATCTCCGATCAGCCCTAGGGAGGATTGTGTAGAACAGGTTTTCTCGTGTTTTAAATCCATGAGCAATCCGGAGCGCTGTGTGATTGGGGGATGGGGTGGAGAGACATCCTTGGCTTTATGGTGGCAGAAGGAGGTTGGTGAGGAAGGTCTCAGAGCATAGCAAAGGAAGACCGGTACAATGCAGTGTGAAATTGTGGGCATCACGTTGGGCAGCCTGGCTTCCAGCCCCACTATTTAGGGACAGGCCCTGGGCCAATGGCTGCAGGCCCTAGGGGTAGGGGAGGAGAAGTGGGCGGGCCATAGCATCCCAGCTGCGGAAGGGAGCCACTGCGGGTGTGCCTGGCCTACTTTAGACCAAGACTCCTGGAAAAGGTCAAGTGCTGCTAATAATAGAGCCCGCAGCCTCCTTCAGGCCTGGCGAGCACAATTGAGGGGCTGTAAAGGGCATCTGGCAGGCTGGAGTGCTGGTCAGCAGGCCTGGTGCTGCGGGCCCAGCTTCCACCTGGCGAGGGCCTCACATTCTCCAGGCACTTGAATTGACCATGTGCCAAAGAGAGGTGGGGAAGGGAGCTTGTCCCCTTCCTGCTTTCTGTAACCTCAACTGAAACCCGCGGAGCCCTGGGGAGTCTGAGAGAGGGACTGGCATCTTGTATGCCGTTATGTTGTTGGGTCTTGTTCATTCCAATGGCAGAACTTTCCAGCAAGGTATCTCAGAGCTTGGGACAAAGGAATGCTCAGAAGCAAGAATGTCTCAATTATGTAGAGTTCTCCCCTGTCTTAGAGGGAAGAGAAGCTGCGGGTCACACTTCCCTGAGGTAATGGGTAAAGTCATCCATTAGCCTGGCCGTGGTGGAGCAGACCTTGATTGAGACACTTAACCTCCTGGTCTCCAGGAGCCTGTGACCTGTCCTGCCCCGCGCAGTGCTGGGCTTCGTGCAGATTAACTGTCTGCTGATTACAGAGAGCTATATAAATGCTAAGTGGAGTGGAGGGGAGTGAGTCTGGGGGATGGGAGGCAGGGCTCCAAGCTCTCCAGTGTTGAAAGAGACAGCACCCCACAGGGTTGCAGGTCATGCTGGGAGAGAGGGCCTCCAGAATGACAGTGACTTCCCTAGAGACCCAGGAGGCGGTGGGGAGCACCTGGGGTTAATGACTTCTACCATATTTCATAGTTGTGATCCCAGAAATGGGGGAGAGAAAGAGAAAGCCATGCCCAACATGTTTGATCCTTTAAGTCCCTGTTATTTTCAGTTTTCTTTGAAAGGAAAATGCATCCACATGTGCGCACACACGCACACCAAGAGCACACGAACATCCTCACACGCACGCAGCCCCAGACGTACCAAGTGTCTGGCACATGGCCACTCGATGAATAGGTGCTGTTTTATTCACAGAAACATAAACACAGGCAGCACGGGCACCATTTTACACGGCATCCCCAGGTGTGTACACACACACGTTAAAATACATAATGATATTTGGGAGCCCAGACTATGTGACAGGCCAATCCTCACGGTAATTCTTGGAGGTGCGTACTGTTTCTTAATTCTCACTGTACAAATGGAGAACCTGAAACTTGGATGATTTGCTCACATTCACGCAGCCCGTTACAGCCAGAACCACTTTGTGGCTGTGTGAGTGTGTATGTATGTGTATGAGAGAGAGAGAGAGAGAGAGATAGCTATGGGGGTGGGGGGAGTACGCATTTATGGCCATACAGATAACACAGCCATAGGCACTGAGCCTTTGCCAGATCAGCATGGTGTGCACAGATCTTGGCACGCATGCGCATTCGGTTTATTTCCTTCCTTCAGGGATTTCGTCCTTCCTGAGAGGGGTCTGAGGGTCCATTCACAGTTGACTGACTTGTCCCCAGTCATCACATGCTGCTTCTAGTTCGGGTCCCAGTCAGACCAGGTCTGAGAGGCAGAGGCGGGCTCCAGTCCTGACCTAGCTACCAGCAGCAGCCCTCCAAGGGCCAGAGCCCTACTGCCCCTCACCTGGGATCCTGAGGCCACGACCCCCTCTCCCACTGGGGCCTTCCTGGGGGGAGATGCGAAGGTGGGAGGAGGTGAGAACCTGGCTGGAGGAGGCCACTTGGAAGGAGGCCTGCAGTGCTCTGGCTCTCTCTCCAACGTAAGGGAGGGCTCCTTCTCCCACACACCTCCCCTCCGCTGGGCCAATCTCCTGCCTCCCTGCCATTTGCAGATGGGATTCTAAAGTCAGCACCAGAACCACATAGGTACTCTCTCAGGTTTGTTTTGGGTTTTGTTTGTTTGTTTGTTTGTTTTTACACTGTTTAAGTCTATATAACAGCTTGTCTCATGGAGGAAAGAACACAGGAATATGTTAGAATCTCGTGCTATAGCAAGCTCAAATTGTGTCAGACAGTTTTGATCGTCTGCCACAGAGTGTTGCTTGCAATAGGTGCTTTTCTGAAACGTTCTCCGAGTCGAATTTAGCAGATCTACGGTGGAACCTTGGGATCTGCATCTCTACTCAGACTCTGATGGAGTCATTAATCTACTCTGTGTGGTCAGAAGTTTATGAGAAAACTGAGGACGACTTGGGATGACCCAGCTTGGCCCAGATGTGGAGAATTAACCTCTGGAGAGTTGATTACAGCAGTCCCCCCCACACACACACACACACTGTATACATAGTTTCTCTTTCCATGGTATCTGTCTAAAATATTATACGGAAAATTTCAAAACTAAATGATTTATAAGTTTTAGATTATATGCCTTTCTGAATAGCATGATCAAATCTCAGGTCTTCCCTCTCCAACTCACCTGGGATGTAAATCATCCCTTTGGCTTGTGTATCTATGCGGTAAATGCTACCTGCCTGATAGTCACTTAGTATCCTTCTTGGTTATCAGCTCGACTGATGGATGAGTTTTCAGTTGCATTATTGAGGGAGCGAGAGATCACATTAATATACCTTTTATTATAATACATTGTTTTATGTTCTATTTTGTTAGTTAATATTGTTAATTTATTGCTGTGCCTCATTTATAAATTAAACTTTAATAGAGGTATGTATCCATAGGGGAAAAAATATATATAAATCAGGTTTGGTGCTATCTGAGGTTTCAGACATCCCCTGGGGCTCTTGGAAAATATCCCCTGTGATAAGGGGGACTGGACTGAGTTATGTAATGATCAAAGCCCCTGCTGTTGCTTCTACAGGACGGGTGGGGGGGGGGGGCTTGCTTTATTCTATGGGCCCAGGTGGCCTCAGTCACAAGAGGAATTTTGCGGCAGTGTGGATGGTACACTGCAGACTACCTCCATTGTGGGAAAAACTGTGAATGTGGCTCCTGGTCTGGGGATATGTTACCAGGGCATTTTGTGTCCAAGAGTAGAGCCTGAGGAAACCTAGACACACTTCTGACTTATGTTGTTTAGTAGAATGTCACAGCATATTCACATTGTGGAACATTTTGTAACTCAGGGACTCAGCAATTTCTACCATCTTGGGAGATTATGCCATCTCCTTAGATGCTTTTTCAAATAGGTTATAGACTTATTCTTGGCCAGAGGTGGAGGCATTGACTCAGGCCCCTGAGATTCTCCCCAGGCTGAGTTCCCAGTGCCTGTGGCTGTCACCTCCTACTTCTCCTCAGAGAAGGTCTGCAGCCAGTTTGGAGGAGGGAGAGTATCAATTACCTCCCATGGTGTCCCCCAGCACCCTCCCCAGCTCAGACCCTCCAAACCCTAAGTATTGAGTTTAATAAGTCCGTTGGCTTTGCAAACACAAGTTCAAAATAAGTCCCCTGGCTGAACCCCTTTCAACAAATTGCCAGCCCTCAGCCCCTCTTGTACAGAAAATCTGTCTCAGTTCCATTCCTTCATCCCACCGCCTGTGGCGAGCAAAGTCTGGTGGAATAATGAGAAAATCACCAGGTAGGGACTGGAAATGCTGCCCCGAGCAGGCTTGGCTCCCCTTTGCTCACCTTCTTTCTTTGGGCCCTCAGCAATCCGTGGTGTCTGAGGGCAGAGCGGGGACTGGCCTGCCTGGGGCTGCCCCTGTGACTTCATCCTGAGCCAGGCCCACCCTACCTCACTCTCTTAGCCATCACCCAGCCAGGTGGGGCTTCAGGTCCTGAGGAGAGCCAGGCAGGGGGGCAGGATGAGGAGCCCCTTGCAGGCCCAGGAAGCTGGGCTGTGCCTGGCTTTGAGTCAGAGAATGCCTTTGGAGTATCGCCCAGATTCCGAGGTTTATCCTCTGGGGTCCCTGCAGGATTTTCCACCCCTCCACTCTCAGACTCTTGTCCCCTTAAGAGTGCAACCCCCTCATTCCTGCTCTCTGCAGCTACCCGCCCCCTTCCTGGTTAGACTCCTGGGGAAAGCCCAGGTGGGTAAGACCCATGGGGGTAGGAAAGGGCTCCATCCAGCCTTCTCCTTGAGCCAGCCGCACAGGTCAGCTGTGGAGGCCTGGCCGGCTCCCTGCTCTGTCTTCCACACCCTCTGCTTCCCCACACTGCCCATTCACACCTGCGCATGGGGGTTACACACATACACGTGTGTATGCAAACAAGGTCCTGGCCAGTTCTTGGCCCTGTGGATCCCTGAGGGCCCGAGGGTGAGTCTTCAGGCCTCCCTAGAAATGTCTGTGACCAGCTCTCTTTTCTTCCTGGCCTGGCTGCAGTATTCCTATGAAGGGATGGAGATCAACAACCTGCCCGTGGAGTTGACGGTCGTGTGGAATGGGCACTTCAACATTGACAACCCAGCTCAGAATAAAGGTGGGGGGGCAGGGACCTGGGGGGTGGAAGCCGGGGTGGGGGCAGAGCAGAGGGCTCTTGGGCAGGTTTCATTACGCCCCCGGCTCCTCACCGCTGTCTGTCTCCCTAGGGCTCTGAGCCCCTCCTTTGCCGCCTTGCCACCACCCACACTTCCCTGTTCCTTCTTGGGCACTGGCTGGTGGCTTCAGGGCAGGAGCGGAGTGAGTGGAACTTGCTGAGCAGAGCTGCCGAGTGAATGGAGACCCTGCAGTCCCCTGTTGAGCTCCTCTGCGCAGGCCTAGGCTGCCTTGTTTGTCTTCTCTGTGTGGCTAAGGGGACGAAGCTGCCCTTGGGTCCCCTCACTGTGTCCCAGGCTGGAACTGACCTGCTCCCTGGCTGCCCCCTCCCTTCTGCCATCTGAAGCCCTCTTGCCTTTGCCCTCCACAGTCTACCTCTACAAGTGTGGGGCCATGCGGGAGAGCTGCGGGCTGTGCCTCAAGGCCGACCCAGACTTTGAGTGTGGCTGGTGCCAGAGTCCAGGCCAGTGTACCCTGCGCCAGCACTGCCCTGCCCACGAGAGTCGCTGGCTGGAGCTCTCAGGCGCCAACAGCAAGTGCACGAACCCCCGCATCACAGAGGTAAGCCTGAGTGGGCATGCGCCAGGTTGCCAAGCCAAACCCTGGAGGGGGAGCGGGGGGGCCCCACCTGGACATGGTGCCAGTCACCGCAGTCACCAGGTGGACATGGATGCTCTGGCTGGCTGGGTGCATCCTCAGTTTCCTTCACAGCTTCCCCAGAACCTTGTTCAAAGCCCCTTCCATTTCCAAGGGAGTCGAGGGGCCTCACTGTCCTGCTGGAGTCTCCACATGAAATGTGTTGGAAAGGACTCAGTCCTTGTCACCCCCTCCCTGAGTCTCTGTGAGTCTCTGTGGCAAGACTGGGAAGCTTCTAAATTGCAGCCAATGAGCAGAGGCTGCACAGGATTCCAGGGGACAGAGCCCAGCCCTGGGGAAGGGGACAGGTGGCCTTGGAGAAGACTCAGGACTCACCCAAAGCAAGATATGAACTAAAGGAGCAAAACCAGATTTGGGCACAGTTCAGGAGGGCCTAGGGGTGCAGGCCTTAGAGCCAAGACCCAAGGAAGGAGGACAGGGCAAGGCTAGACGTGAGGCTGTGGATCTGGGCTGCCAGGTGACTGCTGGGTGCCTTGGGGCTATGCATCAGCCCCTCCATGCCTCTCCTTCCTCTCCTGCCGCCACAGGACAGTTACGAGGAGTGCTGAGCATACACTGTGCATGAACAGTGCTCCCCAGCTCCATGCCGAGCCCTTGGAATCTCTGGCTTCTCCCTCCTCCTTGGTCATCCCCATCATATGAAAATCACTGCAAGGATGTCTAAGCCCAGGAAATCGCTGGCCCCGTGGTTTATGTAGAGAGCTATGTCTCCTTACCGCCCCACTCACACTCTTGGCAGAAAGGCAGCCTAAGGTCCCCCTTCCTGCTGAGGCTGGAGTTTCTTGTACCTCCCTTAAAATAAGGAGGAGAGGTGCATGACTAAACTCTTCAATGTTGGGACCAGGTCTCATAGCCGTGTTTCTAGCACCCAGCTCCTTGGCTTGTGGGTGGCTGTCTTCCCCCTATATACCTTATCATCATTATTCTTCTACTCATGCCTCTGTCCCTGCTGCCCCTTTTTATGAGGATGCCAATCAAATTGGACTGAAGTCCACCCTTATGACCCCCCCCCCTTTAAACTAGATAACCTCTGTGAAAACCCTACTAAGGGATTATTAGGATTATTCCACATACATATTTGTGGGGGAGGTGGGGACACAAATTAATGCACCACACTTGCCAAGGCCAGGGTTATTATCACCCTTTCCCAGACAAAGGGACCCAGTGCTCAGAGGTGCATATTTGCTCTGACCACAATGTAAAGAAAATGGTCCCGCTCCCAGGTCTCCGGAGCGCTGGGTTACCATCCTCCAGTGCACACCCACTCACAAAGCACGCACACCAGGAATGTGTCAGAGCACCAAGGGTCTCGGCTTTTGTGAATGAACAGCCTCACCCAGCAAAGTGGCTTCCCAACGTGCCCCTTACTTTCCACCTTCCTGGTCTGCACACTGGGATTCGCTCTCAGCTCTGCTTCCATTTCCTGAGTGGGGAAGAATCTAAACAATGCCATCAGGAGGGGGATGAGAATATTGGCACCTTTAACCTGCAGACCTGGAGCAGGAGGGCAGGTGGACACCCCTCTATGGCTGCCCCTGGCCCCATACGCAGGCCGTGCCGCCTGCTCTCCTCCGCAGCCCACCCCACCCTGCACCTCCTCCGAGGAGCTCCTGCTCCCATTCCCTTAATGAGAAGCCCTCCCTGGGGCTGTGGTGCGTGGCGACTCATGGTGTGTTGGGCCCAATTGGTGTGACTAGCTTTCTTCTTGGCTTGAGTCCAAGAAAATCACAGGGAAGAGACAGCAAATTAAACAAATCTCCTGCGAGGGAGGCTGTTGTTTCTTCCATCCTGGTGTCCGCCTCCAGGGAACCTGCACTGGGCAGAGATAACCCTCCTTTTACGGGATGACAGGCCAGGGTGGAGAGTCTGGACAATGCTGCCAGGCACCAGGGGTGTATTGGGGACCCACCATCTGGGCAGGCACTGGGGAAAAACCTAGATGCCCCCACACCCTTCCCCATGTCTACCACCTTCCCCACCCAGAAATGGGCCCGTGTCTCCCAGAAGGCTCTTTTCCCACTCCAGTGGGGACACGCTATGTGAACCATCACACCCGCGTGCAAGCTCGCTCACAGACACGCGTGCTTGCGTGGGGGAGGCACAAGCTGCTGTCCTGTCAAAGCTGCCACTCAGGGACAGCCCAGCCTAGGGTCTTCTGCTTCCCCAACTTCACTCCCGCCCCAAGATGGAGCATCAGTTGAGATCCTTGCTTGGTGGGAACAGGAGAATGTGCGGGAAAGGGCTAGAGGGTCCCACTGTTCTGCTGGGCCATGACCCATACAGGACTCAGAGGCCCCAGAGTGGAAAGGAGTCTGCTCTGGAATATGAAATACGGGAGTCACAGTGGCCCTTGTTAAGTGTACTTTAGCCCCTGCCTCAATGCAGGCCGTTGGTGGTTGAATCCTAACCTTCCATCGTGGGTTTTAACACCAACGATGACGTCATTGGGAAAGCCAGCTGTTTTGCCCAGTGTTCCAGGATAATGTCTAAATTAAACCCATCTCCAAGAGAAACCAACCAAAACATGAGGGCAAACAGTGACAAATGCTCCGATGATTCCAGAAAGATGCTGAACTTGGTGTGGTTTTCAACACAGCTATAATCCACAATATGGTGTTGCCAGTAACAAGGCCACCAAACAGTGAAGGTTGTCCCTGCTCCCAGAGACAAGGGTCTGAAGAGGAGGGGCAGGGCATCTAAAGGATGAGAAACCAGACACAAGTAATCCTTGTCTTGAAATAGCAAAAGGAGCCTTGGAACTTTAGGGGGGAGTGAGGGGGAACATCTGGTTATGGCATTTGAGAAGAACCTGCAAAGGTGGGTGAAATGATCCTAGGTGGGATGGCTGATAGGAGGATTTTATTTTCCTTGAGAGTAGAACCAATATCAGAAAATTCTAGAAGCCTTCAGTGCTGATTTTCTGTGAATTACCCAGTGACAGTGCAGTCACTTTCCATCCCCTCCTCTCTTCTGTGGGATGGGAAGATGTACCAGGGACTTTGAACCCAGCTCCTAAGACCATACACAAACCCTGACTGCTTAGTCCAGGGCTCCGGCCCATTGGTAGCCCCAGATCTCAGGTGCCCCTGTGGATTGGACCCATCAAGGAATCAGGCACCACTGAGAGAAGAGCTGGTCACACCCCCAGTCCCACAAGCAAGGGAGTGGCATGCTCTTAGGGCCTTACAATCATTTCTCTTCTTCCCTGCAGATAATTCCAGTGACAGGCCCCCGGGAAGGGGGCACCAAGGTCACCATCCGAGGGGAGAACCTGGGCCTGGAATTCCGGGACATTGCCTCCCATGTCAAAGTGGCTGGCGTGGAGTGCAGCCCCTTGGTGGACGGCTACATCCCTGCAGAACAGTGAGTGAAAGCCACCTGAGGTGTGGGGACAAGCAGGAGGGGAGGGAGGAGCAGTCAGTGCAGACTGAGCACCCCTTGTCCAAAACGTTTGGAGCCAGAAGTGTTTCAAATTGGGGATTTTTCGTGTTGTGGAATATTTGCCTGTACATAATGGGATATCCTGGGAATGGGACCCATTTCTAAACAGGAAATTTATTTATGTTTTATATATAGCTTACACACAGAGGCTGAAGGTTTATGCGATATTTTAAGTAATTTTATGCATGAAACAAATTTCATGGTGTGGAATTTTCTACTTACGGCCTCATCTCAGCAGTCAAAGCTTTTCAGATATTGGAGCATTTCAGAATTTGGATTTTCAGATTAGGGATGGTGCCTTAGGAACAACCTGTTCATCAATGGATGGTCTCAGACTGTGGTAGAAGAAAAGGAAGACAACCCTAACATTCTAGGGTGTGGGGTAGCTCCCCAACTCCCCACCATCTGCAATAGCTAGCTGCCAGACCAGCCCAGCAAACACCACTATGAAGTGTGTACCAGCACAGCGGAATCTGTATGCCACGCCATCTTACTGCCCCTCCTGGAGGGTGACTTTACCACCCATCCTATGTGCATCAGTTATTGTCTCTTGGCAAGGTCCCCCTTAGGTACATCAGTGCAGTTAGCAAATCTGCACGCTGGGTCTTGCCTGGATTTAGTGATTCCCAACCACCCGTGCTGCTGTCTTCAATTCCTCCTGATTTCCATCAGGGGCTTCCCAAGGCGTTCAGAGCAGACGTGATGATTTAACACCCAGTTCTCACCTCCTGGCCTATCCTTGCTCAGTTACCATACAATCTTTCTATGACTCCTACAACTTTCTGAGACCTTCCCAGAACCAAACTGAAGCAAGTTCCTACCAATATATTGTGATTTGGTAAAGTGTCATCTACCCTACTTTGGGTCTACATAACATATCGAAACTGTTTTTATAAAGTCACATGATTAAAATACTCTGATAGTAGTTAGATCCATGGAATAAGATAAAAGACCCAAGAAAAGAATCCTGATATATACAAATTTAGTATGTGATAAAGGTGACATTTCAAACTGGCAAGATCATTCAATAAATGATGCTGATTAACAGCCTGGAAAAAGTACAATATCAGGTGCTTATTTCACAGTACACACCAAAATAAATTCCAGATGGATTAAAGAATTAAGCATAAAAATGTAACTGTGAAAGGATTAGAAGAAAATACGGGTGAGAATTTATTTGATTTCAGGAAGGGGAAGATGATCTAAGTATCGCGGCAAAAGAAGACATAGGTTAGGGGATTTGAGTACATAAAACTTTAAAATTGCACGTTAAAAATTATTGTAGGCAAAATAAAAATGCAAATGATTAATTAGAAATATGGTATAGTATGTCCTTTCATGATTAAGAGAGTTTTCTTAACATATAAAAAAGTGTTATAAATAAAAAGGCAAATATCAGAAAATGAGCAAAGAACATGTGTGTACTTTTAAGATGTACAAAGAACCCGAAAGCATATGAAATGCACATTAAAACAATGAAAAACAATTGCAAAAGGTCAATATTCATTGTAGATTCAAGGCATAGGAAGTGACAGGCTCATGTAATCCTAGTAGGAGGGTAAATCGGGACACAATTTCTGAAAGGCATTTGGAAATATGGGTCAAAAGTCTTCAGGTTGGCACCACACTTCTAGAGCTTTCCCTAAGAAACCAGACTGCTCTGAGTGGTGCAATTTGCAGGGAAGGGATTGTGTACATATAACACATGCTTTTATGTACTTTCCATATTTTCTTATACCAAGAAGATATTAATTACGTTATCAGGACAGAAAGTTATGTGTTTTTGCCAGACATTTCTTCAGAAGTTCTTTCTAAGAGAAGTATAAAACTTAAAACTTAGAAACTACAAAGTAAAAAAAAAACAACCAATTTAACCAATTTAAACTTTAGTGTGGCCAAAAATATTGGGGAAAAAGGTGAAAAATGACCAACAGCAGAAAATAATTGCAATTTTCATAACAGACAAAAGTTAATACTCTTAGTTCAGAAGTTTCTACAAAAGATAACTCAGCTGTAAAAGAGAGAGCTTCAACAGAAACATCCAAGGGAGGCCATGTAAGATCAAAACCAGACAAAAAAAAATGTGCAGCCCAACTAGTAATCAGGGACATCAAAATTAAAATGAGATATTTCTTCCCTAGTAGACTGGAAACTTTTTCAAAGGATTGATAATATCTAGCATTGGCTAAAAGAGG